TTGGGGCCTGGGGGTCCCATAACTGGGGTTTTTGGGGTCTGTGGGGTCTGTGGGGTCTGACCTGGTGATCATCTCCTTCTCCTTGTTGGAGGCGTGGCCGCCGCTGCCCAGCACCTGGGCTGGGGTGGACAGGAAGTACAGGCAGTGGTTGTGGAAGTACTGGTTGATGAGGGGCAGCAGGATCTGGGGGGATCGGGGGGGCTCAGCGGGACCCCAAAACCCCACAGGGAACCAAATAACCCGGAGAGAACCCAAAAAACCCACAGGGGACCCCGAACGCCCCATGGGGAGCCCAATTGTCCCACAGAGACCCCAAATAACCCATAGAAACCCCAAATGTCCCACAGTGACCCCAAATAATCCAGAGATCCCACATATCCCACAGTGACCCCACATAACCCAGAGACCCCAAATATCCCACAGTGACCCCAAATAACCCAGAGATCCCACATATCCCACAGACATCCCAAATAATCCAGAGAAACCCCAAATATCCCACGGAGACCCCAAACAACCCACAGAAACACCAAATACCCCACAGACACCCCAAATAGCCCACAGACACCCCAAATAGCCCACAGACACCCCAAAAGCCCACAGACACCCTAAATATCTCACAGAGGCCCCAAAAAGCCTTCAGGGGATCCCAAACACCACCCACCCCGCAGGGACCTCAAATATCCCATGGGAGCCCCCCCCAACACCCACAAGGACCCCAAAAACCACCATAGGGGACCCCAAAATCCTGGATTTCCCCCCCATTTTGGGGTCCTCCCCCCATTTTGGGGTCCTCCCCTCCTTTTGGGGTCCCCTCCCCTTTTGGGGTCCCCCCCAACCTTGGCGAAGAACTTGATCTCCTGCTCGTGGGGGGATTTCTCCACCCTCCCGCTGCTCACCACGGCCTCTGGGGGGGCAACGGGGGGTCAGGGGGCTCCGGGGGGGAATCCCAAGGGTTTTGAGGGGGGATCCCAAGGGTTTAGGGGGGTCTGAAGGGTCCCCCAGGGCTCGGGGGTCTCACCCAGGTGGGCAATGAACTCCTGGGCAATGTCCCACCAAGGGATGGGGGGTCACAGAGGGCTTGGGGGGCTCGGGGGGGATCTCAAGGGTTTGGGGGGAATCCCAAGGGTCTGGGGGGGATCCCAAGGGTTTGGGGGATCCCCAGGGTTTTGGGGGGGTCTGAAGGGGTCTGAGGGGTCTCACCCAGGTGGGTGATGAACTCCTGGGCGATGTCCCACCGAGGGTTGGGGGGTCACAGAGGGTTTGGGGGCATCCCAAGGGTTTTGGGGGGGTCTGAAGGGGTCTGCGGGGTCCCCCCGGGGCTTTGGGGGTCCCCCAGGGCTCGGGGGTCTCACCCAGGTGTGCGATGAACTCCTGGGCGATGTCCCACCAAGGGATGGGGGGGTCACAGAGGATTTGGAGGGCTCGGGGGGAATCCCAAGGGTTTGGGAGGATCCCCAGGGTTTGGGGGGATCCCAAGGGTTTTGGGGGGGTCTGAAAGGGTCTGAGGGGTCCCCCCAGGGCTTTGGGGGTCCCCCAGGGCTTGGGGGTCTCACCCAGGTGGGCAATGAACTCCTGGGCGATGTCCCACCAAGGGATGGGAGGTCACAGAGGGTTTGGGGGGCTCGGGGGGGATCTCAAGGGTCTGGGGGGAATCCCAAGGGTTTGGGGGAATCCCAAGGGTTTGGGGGGATCCCCAGGGTTTTGGGGGGGGTCTGAAGGGGTCTGAGGGGTCTCACCCAGGTG